CAGCGGCAGGTGGGCTCTCCATGTGCCAGGCGCCAGGGAGGCCGAGTTCGTGTTTCCCCGGTCGGAGGACGCATTCCGAGGAACAGTGGAGGGTGAGTGGGAAAATTCACTGGGGAATAGGAATGTGAATTGAGAATAGGGACTAAGAACAGCTCCTGAGGGACCGGAGGGGTGCGCAGGGGGTTGCCAAAGAGCCGCTTCTCAAAGCCCCCCCCCACCCCGATCGAATTTGCGCTTGCGAGCCAGGCGCCAGAACCACGGAGCTAAATCCCCGGCTCAAAGGTGGTTTTATTAAACAGAGTCACAAGGGGTGGGTCCAGTGTGGGTAAAAACTATAATCAGTGTAAGACCTAAGTCTCACTTCCACTCCACGGAGCGTGAACAGCAGAAAAGTCCTCCACGATGCTGGGTCCTAAAACCCAGCGAGGCTCCGGGAGCTCGACGGAGAAACTAGAAACCCAGGAGGGAACACACCAGGCTAGATGGTAAAAGACCTTTATTAGTCTGGCCAGACTGTGCTCCCGGAGCCAGGTAGCTCAGAGAGGCCACTGCTCAGGGGCCGAGGTCCTTTTTATAGGATTTAAAAAAAATTTTTTTTTTAAACAAAAAAATTTAAACGTAGGTCAGGGCATTCACAGAACCACCCGAGGACCAAGACTTTAAACACATTGCTTATCTCAAGCAGGGAGTGTTCTATGGTCACCTTTTGTCATACCATTTGCCCCTGGGCGGGCTGTTAGCCAAGTTAACAATTAGCATATGAAGAAGCTCAGTCTCTGGCCTATTAGCATGGAGTCACTTTAGCTTATTCCAGTCTTACAATCAGCAGAGGGCCGGGCATTTAGCTCAGTGGTTCCGCCTCCTGTCTTGCAAACCCGAGCTCCGGAGTTCCATCCCCATTACCAAAAAAGCAAAATCCGCCCCCCCCCCGCGCCTGCTGCCAAAAACCCCTATAATCAGCCAAGATTACAAATACAGTCGTTTAGGTAATATTGCCCCAAGAGTAACAAGGTATATCGGTGACATCATTCACCTTGCTGAGTAATCTGCTGTGTTAGTGGTTTTAGTAGGTGGAGGGTGGCCCCTCCCCGGTGAGGTAATGGCCTACCTATGTAGGGAAAGCCCCAGAGGGTGTAGATCCGGCACTTGTGACTTTAATTTTTTTCAGGTGCCCCTCCAGCCACGGCTTCGGTGTGTTCTCTACCCTGACCTCGTGGGCCCAGCCCTGTCCTACTGCCTGCGATGTTTCTACCTCAGTTAGCTGTCTGTATCATTGCCTCCTCTGAAGAAGTACCCCTGACTGTGGTTAAGGGAGAAGGTGTGTAGTTTCCATACAACTGCCTCGGCCTGAGGAGGGCCAGTGTAGTGAAGACCGGAATCAGGGGGCCTTCTCCAGAGAGCTAATCTAATGGGCCTCAGATGGAAGTCAGGTTGTAGGTTAGCAGTTGTGAACTTTCTTTTACGAGGTCAATCTGTTGGATCCCACTAAATGGAGTCTAACACATTTGTCTTTGGTTCCATCACCTGCATGATCACAGAGTTTGACAGCCTCTAGGCAAGAATAAACAAATTTCCCAAAAAACTAGAGCATGTATAATCAAGCATGAGCACTAGGATGGAAAGGCAGGTTCTGGAAAGAGCCACATTTAGAAACTTCTTTTTTTCCCCATACCCCTGTCCTCCCTTCACCCCCTCCTCCCCTTCCCTATTTACAAAAACTTTATTTCCATTTTTTAAGTTTCTTATATTTTTTTCTTTTCCCTTATTTCCTTTCTCCTCCCTTTCCCATTTCCCCTACACCTTTATCCCTTCCTGTTTCACATTGTCAGTTATACCATCAAGATCTTATTTACGATTATAGTAGAAACTGTTCTTAAGGGACTGGAATAGCAGTTGTAACCCGCAGGCTCTTAGACACCTTTACTGATGGAGGTTATCAATAAGCCTGATATTTTGTCATAATGACTAATAACAACGGGTAGCTACCAGTGTAGCTGGAAACTTCCAGAAGGGGCCAGCAATTGGAGCCCCTTTTTATGTCTAACTTTATTACTATGCCATTGTGTTTGCACATCTTTTGGTTATTCTTTTCTGCTGTGTTTAAGATCAAGTTAGCATGAAACCTGTGTACACCAATATTAACCTCTTGTTATCTATCAGGGTCAGTTGAGTCTCCTCAGGCATTACTTTGGAACCGTGCATTGAGCCTGTCTGCTCCTCTGTCATTATCAGCTGTCAGGATGGGTCATGGCCTTGCTTGACCGTGTTGCTTTCGGTAAAAGCATCAGACTTTTCCCTCTTGGTGACCTCCTTTGGCGTACTTTATATTTGTTGATTTTTGTCTTCTGACGCTGATCAATCTCCCTGCTCAGGAGGTTGGGTGACTAACCAAAATTATAGGAATAACCCCTTCCCTGTGATCCTGTGACCGACCCTTGGACCATACTTAGCTCTAGGCTTTCCTTTTCAGAGACTCAGCATATCTGAGAATAGTAGTCAGCCTGGCAAGATGTTCTGGAGAGAAATCCTGACGAGAGAGGCAGTCCTCTGGGAACTGGGCCTGTGCTTATTCTTTAATACCTCTTTCTGCCTAGAACTGTTATTAAACTCATAAGGTTCTTAGGAATGTTTGGTCCTGTCAGTGAACTTACCTGTGCTATAAAAAGCAGTCAACATCATTCTTGTGGGACATAAGGGGAGTTAATTTCCAATTCTGCCTGAGGACTGAAAGACAGATACATTTGGACTAAAACTTTTACATTTATTCTTTTAGAGTTTCAGGATTAAACCTAGAACAGTTTTTAATATGGCCCAGATAAGTGAAGGTCAGCTTCACTCTGGAAGGGACCTAAGAAGGGGAAACTCATCATTCTGGGAAATTGGTCCTGGAATCTAGCTACAAAGGAGGGAAGTGCCTTGGACTCAACACTTGTAAATTGCCGTATTTCTCAGGTGCAGAGCAGTGGAGACAGGATAGAATGACTCTAAGTGTGGCACAAGAATTAAATCCTAACCATCTTAGGTGTGGAAAGATAAGTTCAAGAGGTTTCCCAGTGTGGGTCTGCAGTCCATAGCAAAACATGTTTCCAGGGCTGGAGAATCAGCTCAGTGGCTCCGTGCCTGCCTCATAGGTGCAAGGTCCTGAGTTTGATCCCCGGTACAAAAACAACAACAACAACAAGCTTCCAGAGACAAAAACTATGATTGACTCCACCTGCAATGCCAAGCAGAAAATGAAACCAATAATCATCAAATCCGAATGGCTGATTTTTAGCTTCTTGAAAGAGTGAGAGAAAATAAAAGTGTTCATCAGATTCCCAGGTTAAAATACGGGCATCTGACTTTTGAGTTTCTTTATAAGCTGATAGAGGGGTCTTGTAATCTCAGTATATCCTGCTATGCAAAGGCAACAAAAGCCTGTGATTCCTAAGCATCCCCTTAGTTGTTTTAGAGTCTTGGGCTGTGGGAGGGAAAGAATTGGTTTAATTTTTTCTTTCCCCAGCCTTTGGGTTTCCTTAGATACGTTAAAGCCCAAATATTTTTCCTTAAGGCTGCCAAGTTGTGCCTTTGAAACCTTTTAGCCCCTGTTAGAAAATTCAGCAGAGCAGGGCTGCCTTGGCTTAGAGAGCTCTTCTGAGGGGACAGTTGACAGGATACCTTCTACATTATTACAAGACTGACCTGGAAAAAACTATATTATTCAACTCCAAAACTATATATTCAACTTCTGTTGAATCAGGAGCTAGGGATGTCCTCATCTTTCCCCTGATAAATAGTTGACAATTTTAAAATAATTGAAGGGCTTCTCATCTTTGTTAGATTTTTAAGAAAATGTTTCCCGTTCAACCTCCTGTCTGGTTGGCAGGCCAGAGGGCATCTTGTTTAAGGGCTGCTTGGTTTCCAGGAGGAACCAGCTGTTCCCCTAGCTGCCTGTCTTTTGACCTTCTAAAATGAAGATTAAAACAAATTGAGATAATATTTATCTCTAATGTTGTGTCAGCTTGCAGTGAACAGGGACCATGCTTCCCTACAGTTAATTTGATTTACTGACAGAAGTTTTCCCCCGTCCTCTCTGTATGTCTGAGCTTGTCTAGCCGGATGCTGCCTCCCTAACGTCTCAGGAATTTCCTTTGTTCTCAGTTTTCTTTCTTCTACCTCCCTGCCAGATATAAATGAGATGTGACTGTGTACTGTGCTTGTCTGAAATGCCACATAGCCAATGAATTTGCTAAGCCCATGTGACCTGTGCTCTTTATAATGGTGAAAAAGCTGTAAGATGTCTGTAAGCCTGCCGCGTCCTGGGAGTGTACCCTTCCCTCAGTGAGGGCCAGTCTCTTGGAGCGTGAACTCAGGCTGACCCCCCTGTGCTGAAAATGCAGCTTGCTTTTTGCTTTCACCCGAGACTGCCGGTGTGCTTTCCGTCTTCCCAAGAAGAGCTGCAGCCCAGAGCTACATTCTCTGCTCCGGCAGTACTGCTTGTCTCTCACTAGGAATCAATATATGTGTATCAATATATGTGTATTGTTTCCCTCGGTATCGGTGATTGAAGTCAGGACCTTGTGCTTGCAAGGCAGGCATGGCGCCACTCAACTAAATCCTCAGCTCATTTAAAAAATATTTTCCCTTTTCCTTCTTTTGTTTTTCTGGTACTGGGGATTGAACTCAGGATCTTCCACGTGCCAGGCAGACGCGGTGCTACTGAGCTAAATCTCTGGCATCAATGTTTGACTCAAGAGTAACATTACATCTTTCTCGTGTAGTTCATGGGTCTGAGTAAGTCCTCTAAAGACCTCAGTGTACACATCAGGGTCACCTGAAAACTTGCCTAGATCTTGTTTGATCTGTTTGAGGTCATTGAGTGAAAGGGACACGAGCGCAGGTAGTCCCATATTCACCATTTACTGATGTCCTTGAGGGGCTCTGACACAATCAGCTACAGATGGGTATAATCCAGTGGAGGCTTCGATCACAGCTGGTTTAGAAGCCTCACCCTGAGCATCGGAAGAGAAGCAAGGGAACCTCAGGCTCAGGGATATTGGATGCATCTCTTGGTGCCTTAAAGGCCAGAGGTGTCTGCTTCCCTCCCCCGTATATTTACATTTTGAAAATAAACATTATTTCTCTTTTTTTTTCCTGTACTTGGAATGTAGCTCAAGACCTTGTACTTGCCAGGCAGGTGCCCAACTGCTGCTACGTCCCTGGCCCCAGGATCATCTGTTAATGCAAAGAAAATCTGAACATAAGGTAAGTCTGACCATTTTCTCTCTTTTTGTACTATAGTTCTAGTTGTGAAATAGTATCATAAGCAGTACTTTTCTCAATATTGCATTTTGGGACCTGGGATTTAGCTCAGTGGTTCTGTTGCCTGCCTCGAAAGTGCAAGGTCCCGAGTTTGATCCCAGGTACCAAATAAAAAAATAAAAAATAAATAAAATTTCATTTTGGCTCTAGAGGGTAGGCAGATCGTACGACTTTGGTATGGAGTTTTCAAAAGAAATCCAGAGAAAGAATGGTGTCTCTTTAATTTCTACTGATTTCTACATCCTCAGTGTCCCCTGAGATGACCCACCCCAGAGCAGGTGGCTGCCGTCTGGAAGTAGAACATAGGTCGGGTCGGACTAGCCACCTTTTACCAGTTCACCATCCTATCTTCCCTGGGAACCCACACTCCTAACCCAAGAGCACAAACTACAGTTGATCCCAGGTACAACAGCCCTGTTTAAAGAAGGAAGCAATGATAGCAAAATTAAACTGATGATCAAGAGATCTAAACCATTGCTTTCTAATTCTCTGAGTGAGGAAAATAGATTCGTGGATAAATTAGAGCACTTCTTAGTCTGCAAAAGAGACCATCGCCTCCAGAGATGGGCAGAGTTCCCACCCTGGGCCTAGGGCAAAGCTCCTGAGACATCTGTGTTATTTGTCTAACCTTCTGGCCAGTCTTCCTCGGTGGTAGGACGAGGCTGAGCTTTCTTTAAAGTTTAATCTAAAATGGCTGTGTCTGCGAAGCTTCGCTGGTTCCACTTATAATGAGCCTAGCAGCCACAGTTCACATGTTAGTAAAGGCACATTTATAAGTGTCCTACGCACACATGCAAGGAAGAGAAAGGCTTGCATCCCTTTTTTACTTAGCGTACACAGGGCTCCTCTGATAGCTCTCCTCAGTGAAAAAACTTGTTGCAGGCTGCCTCATCTTTAACTTCCTGGAGGGGGGTTGTGGTCTAACCGTAAGGAGTTCTAAAGTTAATTCCCAGTGAGTTGGAATAGAAAAAAACTTAGGGCTTTTTCTAACTAACAGAAAAGTCCAAACCTATAGCTCAACTTTTTTGTTTGTTTGTTTGTTTTTGGGAGTCAGGGTCTCACTATGTAGCCCAGGCTGGTCGAACTCAACAGTGACCCTCCTGCCTCAGCCTCCCGAGTGCTAGGATGAAAGGCGTGCGACACCACGCCTGGCTATAGTTTAACTATTAATGGAGGCTTACTGAGAGAGCTCTAACAGTGTTACCTCTGGTCACTCTGGAACAGATAATACCAGATCACCACAATAGTCACCTTTCACCTCACTGAGAATTCAGGTAGAGATGATAGATGTGTGGAGATTTTTCTGTTGATGACATGATCCAGTTGAAGGGATCTAGCTTCCACTGATGACCTTTGACCTCAGTTTCCCTAGTTCAGTGCAGTCAGATCTGTCTCCAGAAAGGAATCCAGCTGCCCATTAGGCCACTGGCTTTGTTGAGGATGGGGATTTGCCAGAGGGTCTGGGGAAACCTGTCCTCTGCTTTAGGAGTGACAGCTGCCCTAAGGGCATTTAGCTAGCTGGCAGAGTTAACTACTTCGTTTGAATTCTACAAGGGTCAGATAAAAAGCCTAAGCTGTCTAAAAACCCCAAATTATTACATAGCATCTTACTATTATAAAAAATCCATTTGTCAAAAAAGGGTTTTGGGGGGCGCTGGGGATTTAGCTTAGCAGCACCACGTCTTCCTTGCAAGTGTGGTATCGTGAGTTCAATCCCCAGTAGTCCCCGCAAAAGAATAAAAAGCTTTTGAGGGAATTTAGCTCAGTGGTGTCATGCCTGCCTTGCAAGGGCAAGGTCCTCAGTTCAACCCCAAGTACTGCAAAGGGCTTTTGAAAAGAAAGTTTATTCCAGTAAATAGAGATTAAAATCAGAGTGGAGCAGCTAGCTGGGAAAAAACAAGTTTATTGCATCTGTGTGGATGGGCAGACGGTGGGGGAGAGAGAGTGGTAGCTAGCTGGGAGAGATTTCATCCATGAGAGGATGGGCTGACACCAGCAACGAGATGTGTTACCAATTAAGTGGAAAGAAAATAGGCTTATATAAGCTTTAAAGGGGCTTAGGAATCTGGGGTGAAATATTTATGACTAGGACGTTCAAGGACAGTCTGTTCAGGTGTGTACAGAATTGTTGGACTTCTTGGGACCAGGGGGGCTGTATATTACATTTTGGGTCCTTTTGCCCTATTTACTGAGGAGCTGCTATTGGTTGCTGAAAGCAGCCTGTTTGCTCTGTCTTGTTGGATTAAGGCAGGCCTGACACATAGCATCTTACAAGTTCACACCCAAAGTTTCAAAGTCTGCAATTTATTAGCAAACATATTTTTCTCCCCTACATACGTGAATGATGAGAACCAGCATAAGAGAGGAGAGAGAGAAGATTGGGTTCTCCCTTAAATTAAACGTGTTCCTCGTCTAAGGTGACTTTTTTCTCTCTTGGTACCGGGGAATGAACTCAGGACCTTGTGCTTGCAAGGCAGGTGCGGTGCCACTGATAAATCGCCAGCCCAGCTAAGATGACTTCTTTAACTTCAGCATTAAAATGCTCATTTCTGTGGGTCTTTAGTGGGGAAAAGTCGGGGCAGTTTTAGAGATCCTCCCTTTAACTCTGCATGCTTCTGTGAGGAAACTGTAAAGTCATTGCTTCTCAGCCTTATGGCTCAGATCGGGGAAGCTGTAAAGTGGCAGGGAAATATCAGAAATGAAACCAGGAAAGGAGGTGTTTTCTCATGCTTATGGTAAGTTGTTGAGACACCTTGCTCCTAGTCATCACTCTCAGCCTAGAAAAGCAAGAATGGGCAATCTCAGGAGCTAAGGTTGGCTTCTCATCAGCAGAAGATCAGACCAGAAAGGACACAGAACAGGCCCAACATTTTCTCTAGAGTATAGAGGAGAATTCAGCTGGAACTCTCAGTGAAACCTGTCCTCCAAGTTGTAAGAATGGCCACTGACCTATTGTCTTAACTAGTGGATGAGGTCCTGAGATTTATTTATTGATTAAGATTTATTGGCACACTTTAGGGATATAGTACAGTCGCATTCATCATTGGGATCTTGTACTTTACATGATGTATCTTGGTTCTTATTTTTGTCCTCATTCCCCTGCCTTTTTTATGTACCAGGGATCGAACTCAGGACCTTGTGCTTGTGAGGCAGACAGCGGAACACTGAGCTAAATCCCTGGCTCCCCTGCCCTCCACCCCTATTTACAGAGACTTTGTTTCCATTTTTTCCTTTTCTCATGTTCTTTTCACTTCTTTCCCATACCCTTCCCACTTCCCCTACTCCTTTAGGCCTTTTCTTATTTCACATCTGAGATTTATTAATAGGCATGTATATTTCTCAAATATAAAGTAGATTTCATTTAAAAAACCCATTTTACAGAATTTCATATTAAATCCCAGCAGGGGGCGCTCTAGTGCTATGGTCCTAGCACTGTTGCCTGAGATAAAAAAGCACAGGGTTCAAAAGAGTGAAATGGGTCAAGCAAGGAACATCAAAATAAATTTAGCAACTAAGTCCAAAGTACAGCATACACAGAACAGGGAAGTCATGTTCTTTGAAAGGGGCCTATCTTCCTCTCTTCTCACATTTACAGGTGTCATAAAAAAGGACAATATATTTTAAGACATAAGTTCAAGACATCAGCAATTGACAAAGGCCTGAATTCAGGCCATGTGCAACTGATACACAGGAATGACAATTGTGATTATCTAAGGGAGTCCCAATCCAGAATCTGTGAAACAAAAGTAAACTCCTGCCTCTGTCCAGCGATCTCAGAATGGTACGGGGGAATAGCTGTAACTCCCAACGTGCCTGATGTTAGATGCGCGAAGTTGAAGAATGAATTTTAAAGAACAGTGGCGGTTAAGGGTGGGAAAATATATTGGCGAATAAGAATGAGGACTAAGAATAGCTCGTAAGATACAGCAGGGTCCCGAATGGGTTAACAAGAAGCCCAAAAGGTAGTTTTATAGATCAGAGGGGTGGGTACAACATGGGTAAAAGGTATAAGCAACCAGTAAGACTAGTAATGTAGTTGCTTGGGTAATACTGACCCGTGTTAACAAGGGTACACGGATGACACCGTTAACCTTGGCCAGGACTTGGTCTTAGTCTTAGGGGTGGGAGAGGATGGTCCACTCCTGGTGAGATAATGGCCTGTTTATGTGGGGAATCCCAGAAGCTTGGTACCAGTAATCTCAAGCTTGTGTTCACCTCTTAGGGAAGTGTGCAGGTCTGGTCATCGTGACTTTCGTCTTCAGACGCCCTTCCAGCCACAGCTTCGACGTGTTCTCATCCTCTGCACTGACCTCCACGGTCCAGCCCTGTCTGCCTGCCTACAACATTTCTACTTAAATTAGCTGTGTCGTTCACCAGGAGAGGGTGACTGTCTGGCAGCCATTTTTTTTTTTTGGTACTGGGGATTGAACTCGGGTCCTTGCGCTTCACTGAACCGCTGAGCTAAATCCCCCGCCCGGCTGGTAATCATCTTAATACTAGCAGTAAAGCTACCTGCTATAAGCAATTTGCAAGCATCAAACCGGGACTTAAACTAAAGAAGAAAATGGGAAGACATTTAAGGAGGATGAAACTCCATCCTATTTCCGGCTCACAGAAGGCGAGCCTAGAAGACAGTGAAGTGGAACAGATGGAAAACCATCCACCTGGACTCTCAGGGATGTTAATAGTGACAGTGAATGAGGCTCTAGAAAAATTCAAATCAGAATTAGTTTCTGAGTTAACCGCGGCGTTGACGACCGCGATGACAGACATGTTCAGTGAATACAGAGCACACACCGTTAAACGACTAGAGGAACTTGGGAAAATACTGGAAACCATGAACGCCGAACACAGGGAACAAATGGAATCCATGAAACAGCTGCAGGCGGATATGCAGGAGATCGAAAATTCACTGACAGTACCTGCAGCAGAACACGCTGTTGTGAAGACACAGTATCAGATATAGAGGATAGGACTGCGGTTAGTGATCGTGAGAAGAAAGGATTCAGTGGTTCTGCCACCTGCCTCGTAAGTACAAGGTCCTGAGTTCAATCCATGATACCGAAAACAAAACAAAACAAAAAACAACAAACAACAATATACCTGCCTCGTAAGTACAAGGTCCTGAGTTCAATCCATGATACCGAAAACAAAACAAAACAAAACAAAAAACAACAAACAACAATAAAAAGGACCATGAAAAATCCAACAGCTGCTAGATGATCCAAAGAATTATAAAAGATTAATTGGAGTCAATGGAAAAAGCAGCAGATAGTGCAAATGACATAAAAAAAATTTTTTTTTTTTTTCACAGAATGGCAGAAAACTTTCCAAACATGGAAAAATAATCTGACATACAGACAGTGAGGCATTTAGAACTCCAGTTAGCTTTGATCAAAAAAAAATCTACCACCCTGTTGCTTTTGTTACCTTGTGTGTGCCATACTGTTTCTCCTCTGTGATACCTGTTTGCCATTTCTGTCTTGGAACCAGCTGTGGACTGAAATCTATGAACTGTGAGCTAAATAAACCCTTTCCCTTTTTACTTTAGTTGTTAGATATTTTGTCTCAGCAATGAGAGAAAAGCAACTAACACGGAAATTTGGTACCAGAGAAGTGGGTTCATTGCTGTGACATCACCTGACCGTGTGACTCAAGAGTCTTTGGAAACGGCTGTGGGAAGAGGAAAGACTGAGCTGCTGGCTGTAGAGGTAGAGCTGGGATGGCGTAGGCTGTTCGGTGTGAGAAGTCCTGGGCAGAGCTCAGAAGACCAGACAGCCGGGAAATACCAGGCTCAGAAAGTCTGCTGCAGAGGAGGACCGCACTGGCCGCTGGACTCCAGATGATGTGTGTTACGGCTTGGCAGAAAGTTTGTCTGCATTTTGCTTATGTTCAGAGACCGTCTGAGGCTGAGATGAGGGGCGGGGGACTAACTACTCTTGCAGAAGAAATTTCAAGGCGGTCGAATATTGAGGTGGTGGCGTGGCTGCTGTCAGGGGCTTTTAGCCGGAACTGTGTTGAGAATCGAGAGCAAAGAGCCCAGCAGAATGATTTGAAACTGAGTTTGGCCAGAAAGGAAATTCCAGTAAAGCTGTGAAGTTCAGACAGCAGAGATAATTGCTGAGAAGGAACAGAATAGAAAAGGTGGCCTGAGGGCGTCAGAAAACAACAACAAGCCTTTGCAGCCTCAGAGTGGCAAAAGTGAATTTGCTTTGCGAAGGGAGGCCTAGAGCACCGTGTTCCAGTGTGGCAGCGGCAGCAGCTTAGAGAATTTGTTCCTTGGAATTAGATTGAGTTGCTTAGTGATCCAGGGACTCAACCCCTACCGCCGAGAGAGGGAAGCCGCTGCTCCGGCTGGCAGCAGACCTTGGCGTCTTCCGCATGGCACTGGTGTTAGGTACATGCAGAATGCAGAAGTTGTGGGATCAGTAGGCTTCCACCCAGATTGCAGCAGGCCTGGGTGACCAGGCAGTGCGCCCCTCAGAAGGCGTAGCAGAGAGTGTTGGGGTGAAGGTGCCGTGAAGACCCCAGACGTTTGGAGAAGCCAGAAGCACGGACTGTCCGAGGACAGCTGCGAGGAGGGAGCAGAGCTGGCCCGAGAGAAGCCTCTGGAGCTGTTAACCACTGCAGCGCTGGAGGAGCAGAGGCACCGGAGCCCTGTGGAGTTCACAGCGTGCCACACATGGCTGGAGATGCTGGACGTGCAGCTGTAGGAGTCCGTGTTTGCCGTGCTGGTCTTTGGTCTTGCTTTGGTCCCATCGCTTTGTCACCCCTTCCTTGTAACTTTGAAATGGAAATGTCTGTCTAATGCCATTGAGGATTGGAAGTGTTTGACTTTGCATGTGTACGGAAGCTTGCAGCTAAGAGTTGACCTCGAATCTCAGCAGCCTGGGCTTTTTTTTTAATGCTGCAAGTGGTCGGACTTTGGCAGCTCTTAGAGGTGGACTAAATGCCTTTTGTGTAATGGAGTATACGTGAGTCTTTGTGGGGCAGAGGTGGGGTGTTGTGACTTGGGTTTAGATGTCCCCCAAAGCCTCCCGCTTGTTCAGGCATGGCTAAGTCTGGAATGTCTGATGCTGAGATTCAGGCTGTGTGATTACTACGCCACTACATGTGCGTGGTTTGGCCCCACGCTAACCCCAGTAGTCTGAGTAAGATGAAGAGATAAGGCAGAGAGACGCCTTTGCTGCCTTGTGTGTACCACGCTTCTCTGTGACGCCTGCTTTGCCATTCCTGCCTCGGAGCCAGCTGACTACGGGCTGATACCTCTGCATTGTGAGCTAAATAGACCCTTTGCCTTAAAAAACAACCAGAAAAACTTCCCCCAAGGCATATAATAGGATTCCAGAAGTTTACCACAAGAACGGACTATTAAAAGCTGTCAGAGAAAAGAAATCACCTATAAACGAAAGCCCATCAGGGTAAGAGCAGACTTCTCAACACAACTTTCAAGTCACGGAGAGCTTGGAGGGTTCCAGCGGAGAGTACAGTGAGAAACAGCGCAGCCTGCTTCCCACGAGTCCTCCAGACCCTCCTGCTGATGGTGGCACTGAGCTGGGGGGCCCGAGGAAGGGCTGCACTCCTGCCCTGCAGGCTAAAGGAGCCTCTGACGGCCCACTGTCTGGGCCCAGGTTTTAAAGCCTGGACGAAGTGCTTGCCCACCCACCTCAATGACTCGATGGTGCAAGCGGTGGCCTTGGAGCAAAACCTCTCAGGCAGCAGGGTCTCCAGGCCCAGCCCTGCTGGCCTAGGCCAGGCCCCTGCCAGCCGGCAAGGAGTTGGCACCTTGTAGCAGCTGCAGCACGGCGTGGTAAGAAAAATGCAGGCCTCTGGCTGCCACAAGGGCTGGAGAAGGTGGGTCCGAAATTTGGCCAGTTCTGGCCATAGAACTGTGTCATCTGGGTCTCGGGTGGCTGCTGTGTTCCAGGAGGAGGAGACCACCTTGTGAAGATGATGCAAGGTGCGGGAGCCCAGGCTGAGGACGGAAGGAACAGCTGGTGGGCCGGGCAGGCGCCGGAGAGCCGTGAGTGAGTGTTCTGCGTTTGGCTAGACAGACGCACCGGCCGTGTGTGGAAGGCCTGTGTATATAATATGGAAAAGCTGCTCTCCACGTTTCCCCTAACCTTTGATTTTTAATTTTTTTTCTGTACTTGGGATCAAACTTGCCAGGCAGGCAGTGTCGCTGAGCTACATCCCCAGCCTTCCCCCTAACTTTTTAAAAGAAAACGCTGCCTGTGGACAACACAGATGCAAAGAGATTGCCGCTGCATTATAAAGTAGTTAGAAAACCCACACATCTTGGAAATGCCCATTTTTTTTAAAGCGACTTTTTTCTGGAGGTGACTTTGAAATGGAGTTCATTAGAGCATCAAGAGAGGACAGGAGTGACGCTGGTCCGTGTTTGTTGTGTGGATCAGAGGACAAGAAGATGAGAAGAGTGTGCAGTACCAGACTGGTCACCTGGGGAAGACGCGGTTGGTGCTGTAACTTGTTTCGTGTGTGCATTTTAGTCCTCGTTACTGTATGTAACTGACAGTGCCAAGTACTTTACTGAAATATTGGGTCTTTCAAGTGTCTAACGTGTTAAAAAGCAGTAGTAAAATAATGCATTTTGTAAGTTTCCTTTGTCACAACGCACGGAGTGTTGTCTTGTGGGGGAACAGGCAGACCCCTCGAGTCGTACACACTTTCTGCACTGGCTCCTGGAAGAGGGAAGTGCGGAGTGTGGTGCTCAGGACACGTTACGGCTGCCCTCAGCTCTGTCCATTTTCACTTTGTGTAAGGAGGGTGTGTAGAGGCCAAGTGTGACATTTTACAACATCTAATCTGGATGTTAAAGAGGTGGCCAGTTTCGATAAAAGTAGAGTTAGCAAACTAACAAATTTCATACATTTTTACTGTAAGTCCTAAGAAAGACTTCGGAAAATGTGAGCATTTTAGCCCACTGGGTTAGTGGAGAAGGGAGGGGTTCTAGACTCAAATGCTCATATTTTCCAGACACTTTGGACAATTGTTACATGTGTGCAGTGTAATCAAGACTCCTGTGCATGTGATAGACAAATTGGATTCTCACGTGAGACATCTAGTCTTTCGGAGATGTTTAGAAGTGCCCAGCATATGTTAACTGCTGAGGTAGTGAAGTATCACTGAATTTTTTTTTTTTTTTTTTGCAAACATTCATATGCAGTACTGTATTTTGGAAATGGAATGATTAAGCCAACTCTTGAGCAACATGGTACAGCCTGTTTTTGTTTAATGGCTTGGAAGATGTGGGAGGGAAGCAGTTGGAAAAGTTGTTATGTTAATGTGTTTGTCCTGTGTTTGTTTTTTTTTTTTTTTTTGAGACAGGGTCTTACTAGTTGAGACTGACCTGGAACTCACTATGTAGCCCAGGCTGGTCTCGAACGCACAGCGATCCTCCTGCTTCAAGCCTCCTTAGTGCTGGGATGACAGGTGTGCGCCACCATGTCCGGCTCTGTCCTGGTCTTTTTTAATATATATTTTGTGTTTTTTTCTGTGTATATGGTGTATATAACGCAAGTAAGTCCAACTTTTGCAACATCTAGTTCCTAAATGGTATGGAGGTTGCCAGTGTATGACAAAGTATTAAAGGTAGCACATTTTGTACCCTTTGTGTTCAATTACACAGAAAAGCTTGTCCCCTGTAAATGACTTTGAAGTTTTTGTTTTGTTTTGGTAGCGTGATCAAACTCATGCCCTTGGGGTCAGCTAATTATGGACTGAAACCTGTACAAACTGAGCTAAATAAAGCTTTCCCCCCTTAACTTGTGAGTGTTGGGCATTTTGTGTCAGCAGTGAGAGCAAACTAACAGAATTCGGACTGAGTCACAGAGTTGCCCAGGTTGGTGTCCCAGCTATGATCCTCAGCCTCCCAGAGTGCTGGGATGACAGGTGTGCGCTACTGTGCCTGCCTACGTAGTGTGCTTTGCTCACGGGCTGCATCACAAGAGTTACGTGCAGTAAGTACACAGACTTGCATTGTTACACGTTGATTCTGCAGACGCAGCCAGTGCAAACAATGTCAGCTGAGGTCTCCTAGACTTCATATT